AATTTTTGCAACTTGTGCTTGGAATCTAACCTTGCAATCCCACTAATCACTGTCCACAATTTTTTGAGTAAATAAATATAAAGTATAATAAATACAACAAAGAGTGATTTTGTGCCCAGCACATTAATCCAGATTTCCTTCATTTGCAGCCTACCAACAAACTGCATCAGTGTCAATGTAGAGAGCTCTTCAGAACATAAGTAATTACTGCATCAAGACTGTTGCACTAGATTAGGTGATCTAGATTATGTRATCCTTGAACATAAACATCCAAGGAAATAATGATAGTGGAAACATTTTACTAAATGGCAGTTCAGGCGTAGTGGATGGGGCTAATTAATTATAGCTATGGCAATATTATAATATAAGATTTTATTTAAAAAAATGATATCTTAATGTAGTTGCCTGAATATTTAAAAACCTGTGCCATCAGTAAACAGAATCACACAAGAAATTTTKTGGGCCTAAAGCTAAAACGTTTGTGGGTTCAAAAAGTTAGATTACTGAGGCAGTCAACTGTAAATATCAGAAAAGCACAAAATAGAGACTGCATTGCCACCAATTTGGGGAACTATAAGGGGAGGRAAAATATTAACTGGGCTTGGTTCTCACTAACTTCTAAATTCTGATAATCTAATTTTATATGGAGTTTACTGCTGTCGGCAGATAATCTTCAGGAGTCTAGTTTATTATCATAAGAATGAATATCAATTAAAATTGAAAAAGAAATATTATTTTGTAAGCAAACAAGTGCAAACACAAAAAGCTTGAAAAAGTAGAGTGATCGCACTAAAAGCTTGCAGTTTAAGTACTAAGTTTTAATTTGTACTAAAAGTGGACATCAAGCAAGATGGTATTGAATGCTTCATTTGTATCAATTCAATTTAATTTGCATACCGCATGTACGATTTACTAAATAGAACTATTTAGTTTTGTTTAGTTTGTACAGTTGCATGGATTAAGTGCGATCACTCTACTAACCAAATAGCGCAATAAGTGTAGATTAGACAATAGAAAACAAAGGAATTTAGTGCAATTTAGCACTATTTAATTACTAAAGTTTTCTTGGTTTTAGTGTTTGCACTTAAGCCACTTTTTCTTGAATAGATGAYGACCAATCTGGTCTTCTTTGCAGCATATTAATTAGTTATAATCACAAATATATGACAACACAGGGGAGGCTGCAAAGGAGGCTCAGGAAGTGGCTGCAAAGGAAACTATCACTTTTCAAAAATAAAAACAAATCTGTATGAAAAGGAATTTTAAAGTGGTTAATGAATTATAAAGAATAAAAGTGGCAAATAAAATCTTTCAAAATTCCCCGTCAAAATAACATGAACATTAGCCTATGTACATGTACATGTGTGCCTTACCCCTCCCAAAATATAATTAATTAGAGCGGATTTCGTATGAGTGGGACACCATTACCGCACAGTTACTGCACAGTTACCGGACCTGGCCTGCACAATTTTGGTGAACCAATGGGGCACTAGAATTTGGTTACAGTACGATTATGGTTACAGTACAGTACCGTCCGTTTCCCACTCATACGAAATCTGCTCTATCAGTGAGATACGGATGTAAACAGGGTACATAAACATTGACTAAGTTCAACAAGTAACCCTTTATTAGAACAAAATTGTATAAATAATTATAGTAATTATTTTGCCTTCTAAAGACAACACTTCATTTTGCMCTTGGGATTCCTCTGGTATCTCTTTGGCCCAGCACGGCAGCTGGGGCCTCCACCAAGAAAGAAAGAGGTTGTGTCTCGGGAGAATCTACGTAGCACTCAGTTGATGTAATATATTCATAAAGATATAATACAAAACACATAATACAATAGAACGAGAAACAATGGAATACAATACATTTTATGAATACATTACATCAACTGCGTGCTACGTAGGTCACCCCGTTGTGTCTCTCTCATTTTGCCTCTGGGTCACAGTCTTCCTCTGGTTATGAGGAACACAGGAAGCCCAAAAGTATATAAAAGAGCAAAAATGGAGACACCTGCTGAAGAGGCTGATGATAATTATTATAAATACAGACATTGAAGTATAATCATTTACAAGCACACAACGTCCAGATGTCTGTTGCATCTTTTTTAGATCTATAACAAGCAGACTCCTTAGAGCCAGTGCCCATGATATTTGGATGTATAAAAGTCTGTCCCTTCTTTAAATTGATTATAGCTCGTAATGTTATCCCTTCTTTAACGTCGATATACACAATAAAAAACATGTCGTTTGGTTTTGAGCCGTACACTGGCTTACAGTTCATACACTTCCCTTGTTGTTTTGACACTCTGAATTTTAGTACTTCATCCGTAGGTGCCAACTTGGTTATCTTTTTCAAAGTAGAAAACTCAAGTTTAAGACATAAGTCATCCATTTCTTTATTGCTCGAGATAATCTTGTTCACATGCTCAACAACTTTTCTGGCAGCTTTCTCAATCTTTTTGTCAATATCGTTGTATTGAAAAACAGCTAAACATGGGCACCACTGATTGGGGATTTTCAAATCYTCACATGACCTTTGTTTTCTATCTTTGAGGGGCTCAAGAAGATTCTCACCTTTTCCACCATGTCGTTGCGGAATAGTCTGTGCAATCCTCCGTAATGTTGCATATAAATCATAAGGAGTGACTAKGCCTTTTGAATTTTCCTTAAGYGTTGGAAGTCCATCAAGAACTGCTTGRGGGGCATTAGGAGGAATYGTTATTGAGAGATATGGRTTCCTTTCCTCTAATTTTCCATGTAAAGATCTCCTTAAAATTTCACTCTTGGATCCATGATTGCTGAAGATGGTTATTACAGTGTGATCTAGATGTCCTTTAATTTTCATCCATGCTAAAAAACGAGCCAAGTCCTCATCCTGATAGCTCAAGGCATTGAAATTCCATGAAGAGAGTTCAGACATTGTCACCATTGCAAATTTTGGAAGTCTAGTGTAGACAGCCATGAAGTCACGCAGGTAACCAAGGGAGATATTGTGTATAGCTGTCTTTCCCAAACAAAAAGTGTTCTGGCCTGGGCTATAAGTTCTGAAAATGAATACAAATAAATACTAAATATCATTGCATTTTATAGTATGATGTCGAATAGTATTAAATTTCACAAGTTTAAGTTTCATAATATGTACTTTACTTTTTCAAGTTTTGAAATTGAAAATTAGAGTACTCATCAATTAAGTGAGAATGTAATTTATCACAGTGCAAAAAAAAAAAAATATAATTAGACACAGTCCACGTACTTGTGTACGGCAGCCCAAAACGGCAGTCCATAATGATCAGTAGGTGCACCAGTGAACCCACACAGTGCGTCGCTATACTGCTTCGAGCAAGGCTTGTCTTCTGCCATCATTGTAACATATCCTTGCTCCTTGTGCAACATATGTAGCCATGGCAACTCRTCAAAGCTATTAAAACTGGAAATCTGTTCAGGCTCGATACCAGACATGGCAGCAACAATCTGAGACTTTGAACTGTCATCAAACACAGAAAAACCCTTGAAAAACACTGTGTCGGACAGCTTCTGAAGGAAAGCATATGTYTTTGGAAGTTTTCTGATAAAATGTGAGAATGACACAGAGTGTAACATAAAAATAAGCATGTTTGGCTTGAGGTTCATGTCTTTTGGCTGCTTAAGGTTGAATTTTGGGAAAACTTGAATGTGGTATTCTGTGGTGGAGTGGGCAGGCAGTCCAGATGCAAACTGTACATTTACTTGGACGAACTCATCAGATATTTCTGTGGTGACGTCTGTGGCTTTTTTCCTACCTGTAGGAAAATATTTTCTACTTTATTACAAATTTCACAGTAAATAAGTAAATAAACAAATGAAAGTACAGTATGTGTGTATGTATGTATGGTCGGATTAACTGGCTGGTGATGACTTGACTGTATTTATTCAAACAAATGAATAAATAAACATTAAATCAAATAAATGAAATAAAAAAATATGATAAATAAAATATATTATACAGCGCTGCAATATGCAGAAATTATGATCTTTTTTGCTCATATTTCAAGTATATAAAATATATCAGAAATTATGGGATATCATCACCAATATTTTTTCAGAAAGTACTAGTGCTAGGCAGCTTTAAAAAAATATTGGCGATGATATCCCATAATTTCTGATATATTTTATATATACTTGGAATATGAGTGAAAATGAACATAATTTCTGCATATTGCTGAAAAGYATTATAAATTTATAACATAATTTTAATAATTGTACAATGATTTCCAGACAGTAAACAAACAAATGCTTAAAAACAAATATGTTTATGAATGAAGAAGCTATAATTTGCAGTATGTTATTTACTCTTATAGAAGTCTTTTGCCCATCCAAATCTCATCTTCCAGTTTTTCTCGCAGTCTTCATAAAACACCAGAGGGACATCATTTGGAGGGATAAGTTCCAACGACTGATAATGAACACACATTTCACTTGATAAATGCTGCAGAAAGCCATTCTCTAGCCCCCTAAACTTGGTTGAATCATCGCACCTGTCAGTCAGAACCAGAGGCTTACTTGACTCTGCCATTTCTGATTTGGGCCCAACACAAAATCCAGACACCTTATGYCGCARTGTGCCATCTTCCTCCAAGAGGAATTCTGTTCGTTCATCACCGCAGCTATCCCATAATACTAGCTGCACTCCAGGCCTTGTCTGTGCACCTAGAGGGTGGATGCATTTTCCAAGGAAATGTGCAATGGAGTCTGAATGTTCTGAAGAATTTAAAAGTTAAAAAAAATTTAGCTACAAGATCGAACCTATGCAATAACACCCTTTTCATGTAGCTCTTGCCCTAAAGCTTATACACAGGAATCCCATAATACTTTCAATTCTGATCGATGGAAAATACATAGGAATCCTGTCAATACAGAATTCTATGTTTGAAGAAATGCAAATAGGTCTACACTTAATTTTTAATTCTGGTTTGCAATTTTTAAACTCAACTTGTTCAGCAAACKTATTACTCCCTAATAGAGCCTGAATGCTTTCCAAGAAAGCTACTAGTTGCATGYAACATTGCATTGTCTAAATATGACCTTATTAAAAAGGAATGCTGATTATACCTGCCCTCTTTCATATAAGGGACTCCCCCTTGACACTCGACAACGTCCCCCCTGACACTCGACAACTCACCTGGAGTTAACTGCACCTGTGCCGTCACAATAGACATTCTATCACCCAATGAAAAACCATCATCTTCTGATGTTTTRGCGGTTTGTATAGCTTGATATGACACATCTTGSAGGCCAATTCCYTTAACATGTAGTACTCCTCCACCTAGAGTTGTAATTCGATCACCTGAACACTTTAATTCCCCTAGGTCCTTTTGATATCTTAAAACAGCTTCACTCTTGTAATCAAAATCCATTAAAAGACATTGTTCTGAACCAAAYAGACTCGGCGAGGAAGTATGTGTAAGTTCAAACTTGTATTCCTTGCTTGAAATGAAGATGTCGTTGCTCTGGTATTCGGGCTCAGAGTTTGACCAAGAAAACAGACTTTTTAGAGAGTTTAAAGGATACATGAATGAAAGTGTAGCCACAAAAATAATAGCTCCCATCGCAAGTCTTGGATTTCTGTAGTAAAGTCGTAGACATGGTCTTAAATAACGCAAAGGTGACATCTTTCGGAGACTGGAGAATGAGCATGCAAATATKTTCACTCTTGAAAATGGTCAAATCTCAGCTGTAGCAATGCCCACTGATACTTCGCATAATCCTAAAGTACCATATATGAAGCATCGTGAGAAGATTCAGATTGCAAATGGTATTTTTTTCGCCAATTAACGACTAATAGGTCCTGCACCACTGTTTCTTGGCGCCATCGTTCTTTTTTGCAGCCGGGATGAACTGGAACCAACAACCGATAGCTCCAAAACTGACATTTCATAAAAAATGCGACATCTTAAAATCCTCTTGARAATAGATAATAATTAATTCAATAAGGATAAGCTAAAAGCTGTCAGATAATCAGAAAATGAAACATTTCTAAACTTTCATCTTTGTCACATGAGCAATAGTGTCGACAGTGAGCAAAGCTCAAACAGTGTGGGGAGGGGATATATTAGCATTTATCAATAATTATTCTCGATGCAGAAAGGTATATGTATAAGTACTTTTCAGAATAAACTAACTTAGAAACAATTGTTTAWTATTTTTTGAGATATAAAAAAAAATTTCAAGATCTTTTCCTTGAATGAGAGATTTACCAATCTTTCAATCCTCACCCCCTCCCTCAACAGGTTAAATGGCGTGACAAACGAGGAACCAAAATGGCAGCATCAACACCTTCCTTGTCCTTGCAGTTACTTTTGACTGTCTTAATAGTTCTTACTTTGGCTTCTGTAGCAACATCAACTCCATTAAGATATCATGAACGTCATTTCCACTCTAATTCAAAAGAAACCAAACTTTTGAGCTCAAAAAATGCAAGTTTGCATGAATCTGCTAGCTGCAAGAATGTCACTTGCAAACTGAACTTTAAACCAGAGGACGTGGATCGATTTCGGACGAAAATATTTGACGACGAAGCTCTTGCTGTATTTTTGGTCGTAACAATTAGTAATAGCACCGCAGTTAAAGAAAAATCTTACGCAAATGTTGAGGAAGGCGGAAAGATTGTCCCGTTTTCACTTCAGCTGAAGGAAAAGTGGTCGTGGATTCGGAACACGAGGGCCAAGTTCCTTGCGACATTACCATATGATCTCGATATTCTATCACTAACGACGCTAACAAAAGATGCTTATAACTTAATTGTTGCTGTGAACTCCACTCCAGAGGACTGTTACGCTAATCTTACCAAAGGGTGTTTGAAGGGTCAAATCGCCGAGGGATTGATTTCCATGACAAAGGAAACGGGACAAGTTTGCTACAAAGTAGATTCGCGTGTTGACTCAACTGGAAAGTTTTATGGATACAAGTGTTGTCATTTGGATGAGAATGGCATGGCTCACTGCGACATTCCATTAAATGCCAACTTGTGGGTTCAATATGCATTGAAAATATTATGGGATCTCTCATTTGCATTTGGGGTGTTTTCTCCTCTACTGTTGAAGTACCTGCCCAAAGAGTTCCAGAGACGAGGGAAGCCTAAGTCCCGTCAAATGCGAAGATCAGAATCTCTTGCTTCGACCTCATATGACAGTCTGGAATCTTCGGTAATTGTTGCTTCCAAAATTTTGATTTCCAAAGGTGATGGGTTTCTGGACATTGCAAGAAGTAGGACCCAGTCTACGGCATGTTCCAGATTTGGCCGTTGTTTATTTGTAATACTTCTAAGCTTATTTCCCATTCTACAAACTTTACTTTATGTGTTTTTGAAGGAGTCTGAGGTTGGGGTGTCTAATGAACTGTTAGGCCTTGGAACTGCTGTCCTTACTCTCTTCGATCCATCAGGGAAGTATGCCCTTCTAGGGTTGTATTGCTTCTGCATTGTACTTGTGGCTATTGCGATGGCAATCCCCAAGACTTTATCAGAGCTTGCAAGACGGCTATCAGGAAAAAGAGACGAGCAGTCATTTTTGGGCTTCGAAAAACCAAATGAACTGATTTGCCATTCAGACAAGCGAGGATTTCAGCTGATGTATGAAAATATGATTTTTCATTTAAAYTGCCTCATGACTCTGTCATTCTGGAAGTTTRCCTGGTCTGTTTTAATCCACCCACTTCATCTTCTGTGCCATTGCAAYACAGTGGAGGAGGATGGACTCCTTGACGAAAAGAAGGAAGAGTACGACGAGGAGGCACCATTGAGTCKATGTGCCCAAATTGTACGYGGTATACTACTTTTACTGGTCTTTCCACTATGGATTGTTTTCATGGTTAGTGCCTTTATCCTGTACATTCTACCAGTGACTTATGTGGCTTTCAGGATWTGGAAAATGCTGTTYAAAATGGAAGTAGAATGCTCGTGCTGTGAGGGGATTCCCACGTCAATCAAAATCCTCTCATTACCCATTTTATATATTCTCTTCATTGCCTTCTGTGTGTGCGTGGAAGCCTCGTATTTCATGCTGGTGTTCGTAATAAGTTCGAATCTTGTCTTTCTTGGCAGCGTCATTGGGTTCACMACCATGGGTGTKCTGTTTTACATAGATGCTTWCATCTCATATGTAGTTGTYGTAATACTTGGRCTGTATTACATAATTAGAGCTTTTCATGAGCTAAAAGTTGCATTCAAACGAGTCAAGGTGATCATCTTTGATCAATGTGAAGAACAYGATMAARACCTCAAGACTGAAGCAAGCATACGTGACACATTTGCTGGTCAAACGCCCATGGAAAGAAGTGGCTCAACCAGTTCTCTGCAAAAATTGTCCAAGTCAATGGCRCTGGTCACACTTTCTGATGAGAAAAAAGTCCCKAGTATTCCGCTGAAACTTTTCCTTTCTGCWCAGAATGAAGTTTTCCCMTTCAAGAGAGTTGTAATTTCCAAGATTTTGAAGCTGTTGGTAATCTATGTCTATCTTGTCKTAGTGTTTTCATTYGTGATGTCTTTAGTGGAGTATAAGGCTGCAGACTCATTAGTCCAGGCAATTGCMATACTTCTCCTTGGCGCAGTTCCATATTTTATGCAGGGAAATCCTCAAGAAATACCAGARAAGGAGGAGAAATGGATCAAGTTTCACGTTAAAGAACAAATTAATAAGTACTGYAAAAGATTTGCGTAAAATRTACTCAAATGTGGATTGGTTACTGGATAAAGATTGAGAGATAATTTGGTATGATAAAARAATTTTTATAAACTTTTTGGTAGGTGTTTTTTTAATAAAATATTATTATAACTTACAGTTAAAGTATTTGAGATAAACAGTTAATTAAACTAGAAAATAGCAGCAATGTAAAGCAATAGGTATTAAAAATGAATAATAAATAAAAAATTGTTTTTGCAGTCTAAAAATGATATAAAAATATTCATGTTTCGGGTTCCCTGTGTAGTATCGTTTCGGGAATAAATCGCGGGCTCCAATATGGCGCGAAAAGGCGAAATGGCTTGACTTTTCAACAATGCTCATATTTACATCGTATTMTTTGCAGGTTACTTCTTGAATTTTGTCAAAAAGGTGTATTTCAATAGCCTATCTATCAGGCCTTAGTATTCCTAAAATAATTTGGCGTAGTTTTGGCTAGTTGCGCATAAATTCTTGCACAGATTGGAATTCTTACTCACGTGTTTAGTAAAAAAGTTGATAATCGGTAACAATGACTACCAATGAAGAAGAGAGGATCGCCAAGAATATGCCTCGGGAAATGAAAAATAAGAATAAATGGTATGGAGATGCCAARGACTACTGGAAGGTTAGTTTTATTCCTCTTGAATTGAAATCTTATAGTTAACAAAACATGGTCATCGCCAACTAGAAGTAACCTTTTAAGGCTGATTTACACGGCACGATTGTCTTGTGCGATTTGTAGTATACGGCTTGAATCGCGCAGTGTAAATGCCCCTACGACTTGTCTACAACAGTCGTACGCAACCTACGACTTGTAGTAGGATTTTGAACCACTGCTTAAAATCCTACGACTTGTAGTAGGAAAATCGTATACTACAAGTCGCGCGCGACAAATCGTACCGTGTAAATCAGCCTTTAAACGTTTTATAAGATTGTCTTGGTCAAAACAGAAGAGGTAAAATGCACACTGTGGAAGGGGCACCAATAAGCTCCAAAACATAAATATTTGACAAGGTCTCAGGAGGGGAGCAACCCTTGATCTACCCACCAGCCCCCTCCATCAGCATAGCTAGCATAGCTAGTCTGAATGGACCACAAGCTGCTAACCAAATATGGACAAGCAAGTGGGAACAGATCAGGTGTTCATAACCACAGATATTATATAAGGCTTTGTACTACTTAATACTCTCTCTCCTATTTTCCAGGAAATACCAGCAACTGTTRATGGTATGCTAGGAGGATTTGCTCACATATCTACTATAGATGTAGCCTGGTCAAAAAAGTTTCTACAAGAATTTCTGGTAAACTTTCCGTCTGTCAAAAATATAATTTTCGCAGTAAAGAAATAGTTTGTAGAAGAAACTATATGAGTTGTGTTTTTATTGATGATTGTTGTCAAAGTTATTAGTATATTTATTTATAAAGGATTCCCAAGCAGCAAAGAAACCAAAAGATGACTTAACATTACCAAGAACACAAGCAAGAGTTGCCCTAGGTAGGAAATTTGGAACTTCAGTCACATTCATAGTCCTGGTTTGCCTGCAGCAGTGAGAGTGTGGCAAGAATTTCTGCCATGATTAAAACCACTGACCACCAGCAACACAACAGACTTATTCAATTCAATACTAAAACATCATCCAAAGTGGTGCTTATATGTACCTGCGTGTAGGTTTGACTGTGATGCATCTAGAAGGACATTCTGTGCCTATATTGCCGGATTTCAAACCGAGTGGGGACTGGGCAAAATCCCTTAATTGGATGATCACGAGATAAGACTTACATAGAAAGAAAGCCCTTGTTGAGAAATGCAAAATTCCAAAATCTGGTGTCAATCAGTTCAATAGTGAACGAGTTACGGCCTTTCAAATATTCTAAAATTTGCAAAGAAATGTATGGGAAGCCGCAAATGTGTCCGAATTTTGACCATTTTCCGGACACATTCACGGCTTTCCATACATTTCTTTGGAAATATTAGAATAYTTGAAAGGCYRTAACTCGCTCACTATTGGACTGATTTACATCAAATTTTGGAATTTTGCATTTCTCAAGGCAGGCTTTCTTTCTATGTAAGTCTTATGTCATGATTACCCAATTAGGGGATTTTGCCCAGTCCCACACGGTTTGAAATCCGGCAATATTCATTTATTATGCAACTCAGAAAATATCAGCAATTTATTCCATGAATGATTCTGCTAAAATAATCTGGATTATGAAAGAGTTACTAACTAGACTATTGCCCTTTATCTCACAGATTGTGGTGCAGGAATTGGTCGTGTGACAAAATACCTTCTGATTCCCTTATTTGAGACAGTCGACATGCTTGAACAGAACAAAGACTTTYTAGATCAGTGTGACCAATACTTGGTAAGCCAAGCTATACTGTAAACAGAGTGGACCAATTTGGATTACCTGTGTACACAGTTATAAAAGAACGACGGCAATAGATGTTTCTTAGATTTACTTCTGCATGTAACATATTTTGTGATAATGGTGAATGATTTAGAAACAGGACTCCCATGTTAAAAGCAACCAATTATTCTCTCACAGGGCGATTTAAGAAGTAAGGTAGAAAACTTATATCCAATTGGTTTACAGGTAATACTCCGATTTCGATTTCTTGTTTGCTCTGTGTTAGCCTCAAAACCAAGCAACATATTCTTTTGTTTCATTGATAGCCCGAGAAAACGCATGGAATTTGAAAAGAAAGACAATAGAATTGATTTAAAATCTCACACTTTTATTCTCACAATAAGGAATATTTGCGCGCAAATGAGGCTAACACAGAGCATTGGAGAATTCGAAACTGAATTATTAAACTATGTGGCAATTATATGGGCAAAATACTTATCAAGGATTCAGTCTAACAGTATCTATAATAATAATTTAAATATTATAAGGTTCCTGTAATTCAGCATGGTGGCTATAGTTGTTTTTGTATTATGTTTATTTATTCCAGGAATTCGATCCTGTGCCTGGACGATACGATGTGATGTGGTGTCAATGGGTCATGGGACACCTTGCAGACGGTACAATACAACAATTTATTTATCATTATGATGATATATGTAAAGCAGTTTTCCATTAAATATGAGCACATTATTRCTGATATATATTGCCTGGAAATGATAGAGTGCAAACATTAAATGTGTGCAATACTTTCCACTATTTACTACAAAATATTAATTAAACAATAGAAAACAATAGAATTAGCATAATTTAGTGGTATTTATGTTGCACAGTTTTAGTGTTTGTACTCTACCTTGTGAAAAAATATATTTTAGAGCATAAAATTTATAACTTATTATAGATATTATCAATGTAAAAATGCAATTATACAATGATAATAATCTTTTTAATGATCATAATAATCAGACCACTAATATAAACAATATCAATAATTGATAATTAATAATTGTTATTACATGTATGCGGCTTATAATTGTTGTTTCATTTCAGATGATTTCATATCATTTTTAAATCGTTGTAAGAAAGGTTTAAGTGAGGRAGGAATTATATGTATCAAAGAGAACATTTCAAGTAGACGAGATCATGATGTTGATGTGGTAGACAGCAGTGTTACAAGGTAACTTTATATTTATATTAAAGTTTTTAATCATACTTCATGATTAATGATTTAATCGTACGAGGAARTAGCTGATCCCATTAAAGAGTGCTCAATACACATATAGTGCAGAGCTAAGTATATATATAATATATATAATAACAAAGAGGYAAGATTTGCTGTAACTCCGAGTTTCATGCTTACGCACTCATYAGRCAGAATTTAATTAATGAATTTGATTAATGATTTAGATTTCTTATGTATTCTGGAAATTAAGGAAGTCTAATAATGAAATATGAATGGAAAGATCCATAGTACTAACACATTTGTGAAATTGAGGAAAAAGAAGAGGGAAGGGAAGCAGAATAACTGTGAAAGAAACCATCCAAGCTGTGCTTCCCTTAACACTTCTCTATCTCTGTCCACTTCACTATAGTCTCCTCGCAGCCGTGTTTAGTTTTGGTCATGCATCAYGCAACCTCTCCGCACAGGTTGCGTGAAGCGTGACCGAAACTAAACACRGCTGCAAGGAGACTAACTTCACTAGTGATAACAAGGTTTTAAGGGGCTCACCTAATGTCAATATTAACTATTATTAAATTATTAATACACCTCTKCAGGTCTCACAATCAATACATGAAACTGTTTAAGAGAGCTAATATGAGATTAATCAAACAAGAAACCCAGACGGACTTTCCTAGCGAAATCTACAAAGTAAATATGTAAGTATAAGGGGTGTAGTAGGGAGAGCTGAGTAGAGAACGGGGAGGACAAAAAGGGGAGTTGATAATTGCTTGTCAATCTAAAGTTGCTACAATGTGTCAAAGCTCCTTTCCTGTCTTTCATTCAGAAGTTGAGGCAAAAGTAACAGCTAGTATTCATATTTATAAAACTTATTAATAATGCATAAGCTATTGCTCCAATAAGGGCTGACCATTTAATCAGGTGATTGACCTTGTAAATCTGATACAACCACTAGTGGTTGTATCAGATTTACAACATGGTCGTCACCATTGAGACAACCCAACACTAGCAAAGGTCTCAGTTTTAGTGTCGCATCATAGACCTTCACTAGGTTTTGAAGCAATCAAAGACGGATAACAGAACTCGCTTATGCAACAGATGGCTTGCTTTCCATGTGGGATGGATAATTATTCAAAATGTTCTGTGTTGCAGTAAATTGCGCATGCTTAATAGGGACTAAACTCAGCAGTTACCTTATTTGTCATTTTTCGTCATTTATCTCACTGTAATTCATGTTAATTTGTGTTGGAGTTTTATAAGTCGTTTACAACATTCGCGTCCGTGTTTTATGGGAATTACAATCTCTCGCCTGCGGCTCGAGATTGTAATTCCCATACAACACGGCCGCTCATGTTGTAAACTATACATATATATTTTTTTCAGATATGCATTGGTTCCTGAAGAAGACAGTGAAGAAACAGATGAAAATGATGAAAGCAACCCTGTTGTTTAAAGTTTTATAATTTTACTTTGAAAAGTTAATAAAATTGTAAAAATATGTACAATTAAAAAAAACATTTTGTACAAAGTAAAAAAAAAAACGTTATTACTTGCGTTGTATCCTCTTAATCAAAAGTAATGTCATTTTTACACATTTTGCTTGGCATATATTGTAGCGCATCACATAACAGCACACTTTATGTCACTGACTATTTTTAAGCTTTTTGTGCATGGAATCTGCTAACTTTTTACCACAAAAATTAATAATTACACATTGCTGAAGACTATATGCAACAACAGCAACCTTCGCATCCTTTTTTAAACAGAAATTTACAGTAATATAAAGAATGTGCTATATATTAACTATTCAAAATAAGCAATAGAACAGCTTTTTGCTTATTATCCAAAAGAAACTGTTTTGGAATTATATGATATGCATTCTTGAATTTATAATTTCTTTTTACGGCATAGAAGGAAGACAGCCTAAAAGTAATTTAATTAAAATACTTTATTATTTCGACTATTCATTCACTTTTCCAGTTTGTGTTTTCACTTCCATTGGTCTCTACAGCGTTTTTTTACTTCTCTCAGGAATTGTGTAACAAACACCTTAAAAGTTCAGTAACAACATGTACRTTTAGACTGTTGCCAAGGAGACGGTACTTTTGCTTTGAAGTAGTTCCCTCTGGAAACCCTACAGTCCAAAATAATGAATGTGAGTGAGTAACTAAAGCCTCATGTCATCTGTAGATAATATAACAATACACCATTTCGTGGATAATTCGAAATTTTACATTACGTCGATATGGTAAATCATTGACGTCACTGGAAAGAACGTCATAAAATCAGCAAATTTGCCAAGTTTGAAAATCATCGAATCATGCTCAAACCTGGAAAACATACTAATTTTACACTGTTCTTTACAGTGGTGGTAATCATTTTTTGTTATTTGCTAAATTTCTAATTAGCTGTGTTATCCGCGAAGTGGGCTATTGGAATTCTTACCAAATGATTTTGGGAAATACATGATGTTTGCAACCTCTCTTGGAGTGAAGTATCTTAGCTTAAGGTCCCTGAGGACCTCGGCTCGTTGTGAGTCAGATTGACCGGGATCTAGTGATCTGTACTTATCAAAGTATTCAACATCCTGTTAAACAAACAAATCCTTTGTTGAGCCTGTCACACAATATGGTTAATAAAATCCAATCTATCCAATGACATACAATGTAAGTAGAGTCTTATTTCTTCCACTCACATCAATATCGGCCATTTTTAATATAGAACCAGTCCCCTCAGCATAATGACCATATCTAGAAACAGTCGAAATCAATACTGACAAATAATCAATAAAATAAATAATCTATCTTGAGTATAAAGTGAAATTATTACGACTATTTGACACTTTATTGTCAGGCTAAAACATAAAATAAGGAAACAGAAATTACTGAATTTGATCAACACAAACACCTCAAAACTGTCTTTTTATAAATATAGCTTACAAGAGCCACAAGCTTATAAGAAACTCAAGAAATCTGGAAATGAGCCATTCATTTAACTTCTGAGTTTCTCTTGTTCCATTGTATTAAGGTAGAAAAGAAGAAAAAAACACTAATATAAATAAAACTTACGCCTTTGTAAAACAGCAAGAATGTGTTGAGAATGGTGTAACAATATCTGAAAAAAGAGAAGTGTTGTCGTTGTCCTAAAAGATTTTTTAATCTTAAATACCAATAAGTTAGGATTAYGGTTTCTTTGCAAAAAWTGCCAAATGTCCTTACCTAAAACCAGTGCAAACTTACTAAGCACCCTTTCTGGAAGAAGAAATTGCTGAAAGTAATCATCATGTTCAGGTTCTAAAAACTCTGCAAGTATTCTTCTATTTCTACCACAATGAAGACAAAATGTGCACAGTTTATTACTYRAAMGATTTTCAYTTTGAGCTGTTTTTTCTTGTCCATTATGAGACTGTGTTTGTAAAAGATTTGAAGTCATATTTTTTGTCTGGATAGTACATGTATTCTGGTTGCTTGAAATGCTGTCATTATCTGTAGATGAGTTTATTTTGATATCTTTKYKTAGTGTTTTTGTCTTTGAGCATGTGCAATAATGGTTTTCAGACGATTCTTCTTGTTCTGGGACATTAGTCAATATCTACAAGAACAGAAAAAGTATGAAAGAATTTAATAATCGAACAATGACAGCTATGTAAATTATACCTTCTGTTGTGTTTCAAAGTAAAATTGATGAGGTTTTCTCTTGGCAAGCATGTAATATCTAAGCCTTGAGTTGGGAATTCCAAACTGAAAGAGATGASAATGAGATGAGAATAAAAAGAATGGACGAAAGTGAAAAAATGGATACATGAATGAATGAGAAAATGGAAAAAATACCTGATTCGGTGATAAAAGGAACTCCTATAAAAACAAACAAAAACATTATCTTATTAACAACTATCACACTGCATAGAAAAGCATCTTAACACACTTTAGAGAGTGGGAAGTTAATTAAAACAGTTTATGTTGTATTTAAATTACTTTTTCATCTTAAAGAGT